CTCTTCTCTTCTCTTCTCTTCTCTTCTCTTCTCTTCTCTTCTCTTCTCTTCCCTTCCCTTCCCTTCCCTTCCCTTCTCTTCCCTTCCCTTTCTTTCCCTTCCTTTCTATTCTATTCTTCATTCCAATATTCTATTCTATTCTATTCTATTCTATTCTATTCTATTCTATTCTATTCTATTCTATTCTATTCCTATTCCTATTCCTATTCCTATTCCTATTCTATTCATTTCTAATCTTTGTTATTCTTCTCTGAACTTTCTAAATAGTTTATGGCTTTTAAAACTGAAATTCACACCTTGAGGTAGAAATAATGGCTCAGATCCCCAGAACTCTCTTTAAGATTGGTGAGAAACGGTGTTTCTGTCCAGTGAAGTCACGCGTATATAATCATAAGTTCCAGATCAGCTGCAAAAGTCCAAAAGGCATATAAATTGTGCCTGTTAATAGGGCCAAATTATTCCTATTTAGAAAAGGGAATTAGCTAAGGAATGGTTAGATTAATTGATTCTTTTTTTAAAAAAAATATGTGTCTTTAGAATGAATGCTTCTATGAAGGGTATATCCAAGGCTTCCCCAATTCTGTGGCAATACTCAGCATCTGCTCTGGCCTCAGGTAAGAGAATTACTTTTGAAAATAGGTACAGGCTTAAAAAATAGGCCCCGACCTTTCTTTCTTTGCAGCTCATAGTTGCTTCAGAAATGGGAATAATGGTGTGGAGTGCCAGATTAGCTGCGGGCCCAATCAGGGGTGGGATTCTACTGGTTCAGACCGGTTCTATGGAACCGGTTGTGACGATTCTGTGCAGTTCGGAGAAATGGCAAATATTGCCCCTGGCTGGCCCCGCCCCTCTCCACCCGCCGTCAGTCCTCATTGTGCATGCGCAACATTGCGTGTGTTAGGCATCTAGAAATTGTCCATGGTAATAAATCACTCTGAGACAAGTATAATCTCCAACTGATTTATTAGGAACAGCTCTGGTACTTCTATGGCATTTCCAAAAGTGAAAGTCATTTTCAGCACAGTTTCACAAAACCCACCTTCTCTCCTCCCACTTCTGCACTTCGTTAATCACAAGAACCAATTAACTGCAGCTGGAATTTTTTTAATGCAACATACGGAAGAACCTTGAACTTTTCAACTCCTCCACCCCCCTTCCTTTCGTGGCAGCTGAATCTCAGAGCTGACAGCGTGTATGCCTGGCATCGCTGACTGCATTCTCCCCCGCCGATTCAGTCCTTAAGATATTTCTTTTCCCCCCCCTCTTCCCGACAATGAGCTGTTCCGACGATCAGTTGTGCCTGGATTCACCTCTCTGTCTTACTGCTTTGCCCAGGAGACTTCCCTGAGGCCCAGGAGGCAAAAAAAAAACTGGGGGGGGGGGGGTTGCAAGAGAAGAAGAAGAAGCCACGCCCACACAGTCACATGGCCACCTAACCACACCCACAGAACCGGTTGTTAAAAAATTTGAATCCCACCCTCGGTCCCAATCCAATGTACACTTTGTCACTTTGAATGTACACTCATCGTCATACATTAAAATGAAATTTCATGGCATCCAATTCTCAAAGTGTCACCACCTCTAATATACACTACATAAACATGACAAAATAAATACATACAAAAATTATGCATATACCCACATATATTATATGACACAGAGAAACAACACAGTCTAGTTCAGATGTATACATAAAGAGGGCGGAGGAAAAAGGAATCCTGTGTATTTATAAGATGGATGGCATAAGGAACAAAGCTGCTACATTATCTAGTAGACCTACTATAAATACTTCAAAAACCCCTCCCAGAGGGGAGCAACAGAAGCAGACCATGAAGTGGGTGTGTGGGGTCTCTAACAATGCTTCGAGCTCTAAGCACATAGCAGTATTCTGAATAATGGGAAGTGAGCTTCCTGTAATATTCTCAGTTGTCCTCACCACTCTCTGTAGGGACTTTCTATCTGAGGCACTGCTGCCACCAAACCAAACAGGGACGCAATTTGTTAAAATGCTCTCAATTGTGCCTCTGTAAAAAGTGGCCAGGACATGCAATACCTCCAGGGTCACGTCATCAAGATTTGGGCATCACGCAACTGCCATTTGTAACGATTCTGGCTGGCTTCTGACAAGCACAGACAATGGCGGAAGCTAGTTTCCTTTTTTAACGATGGCATGATTCACTTAAGAATGGCAACGACCTGCTCAACAACTCTAACAACTAGCTTAGCAAATGCTACTTGTATTTACTACCTGTATTTCACGATGAATAAACTACTGGGGGAAAAAAGGCAGGCTGGGTTTGTCAATGGATAAGAAAATCTCGTGCTATAACAATGTGGACATTTTCAGGGGCGTGATACAGTTTGAGAATGTCAGCTACGGCATTGAGCACCTGGAATCTTCAACTACCTTTGAGCACCTAATTTATGAACTAAACAGCGAAAACGCCAAAGGCCCAATTTGGACAGAAAATGTCACCCATGTAGACAACCGAACGAAGACACGACATGTATCTTATAAGCTGCTTTCAGATACTGTGGTCAGTGCTGTGCTTCATTTCCTTTTCAAAGCAGTCTTTAAAAGTGTTTACCCTGCTTATGTACTAGGCTTATAGCTTATCCACCTGCTGAAGTTCTCAAGATGGCGTCAGCATTAGATGGTTCCATACAGAGGTGATATTCAGCTGGTTCTGGAGATCCAGTAGCGGAAATTTTGAATAGTTTGGAGAACCAGCCAATCCCACCTCTGACTGGCCCTGCCCCCATTGTTTCTCTGCCTCCCAAGTCCCAGCTGATTGGCTGGGTCTCCTTTGGTTGCCCTGCACAAGGAGAACGGAGCTGGAAAGCAGGTTAGTGGGGTAGGGTGGGGAGGGAATGGGGGATTTTGCAGTAACCTTCCTCTACCATGCCTACCAAGCTACGCCCACCAAGCCACACCCACAAAGTCATGCCCACCAAGCTATGCCCACAGAACTGGTAATAAAAAAAAATGAATCCCACAGCATAGGGCTGTGCAAAGCAGTTGAAAGAGGTCCATTGCAAAAGCCACTGGCCAAAACAGAGCGTTTCCCCTTGAAGTGTTAAAGGAGCCGTGTCCTCTTTAAAACTCGTTCTATTCCTTTGAAGGCATTCTTCTGTTGTCTGTGGAAAGTTACTAAAGGAGCTGGACTTTCTGGTTTTTTTCTTCAGCTCCTTCAGCTCTGGCTGGATGGTGAGGAATGGAAGGATTTATATTCCTTGCAGACAGCTGGTCATTTGCCTCCTTTTAGAGGGTCACTGAGGCCACCTGGAGGTTTGTTTATCTGTGTCCTCAGGGTCATTCCAATGAACAGCCTTTGAATGGTGTGGGAGTAGAAACTGAGGAAAAAATTGCAGACAAGGAGCACTACTCAGGTGACCCTGAGGACATAGATAAACCTCCAAGTGGCCTCAACACAACCCTCTCAAAGGATGCAAATGACCAGCTGTCTGCAAGGAGTATAAATCCTTCCCTTCCCCACCATCCAGTCAGAGCTGAAGAAGCTTCTTGGATGAGAAGCACAAAAGAAAGGCCAGTTGCCTCCTGAAAAAAGCACCTTTGGGACAACCTTGATCTGGATGACTGAGAATCTCTACAGACTTTTAGCTGTGGGAAGTAATGCCTGCACAAAGAACATTTTATAGGAACAACCATCAAAGTGAAACAGTACAGACACACAGACAAGGAGGGACGGTTTTCACAGGGAATGTGTCAGCTTCCAAAGGCCACTTTAACTATTTGAGGAGGGAACTTTTGCTTGTGCCAATGCACTGTATACAATGCCCATTTTAAATTGCTGCAAGTTAAACAAAACTTGGTTGTTGTTGTTGTTTTTAAATGGCAACCTTGCCAAAAGCAATTCCTCCCTCCTTGTTGTTGCCTGCAACTGGGATTTGGACAGGGGTGGGCTTCAAAATTTTTAGCCATGGGTTCGATTACTGGGTGGGCATGGTCATGGTGGTGCTCCTTGTCTGCAATGGCCTAGTTGGCCTCCTGCACCGTGACGAGGGGAGGGGGGCATTTTTGCTCTCCCCGGGCTCCGGAGGCTCTCTGGGATAGTGTGGGAAGTCCGGGTGAAACTTTTAGTTTCAGAATTCCACAGAATGTGCCTGGTGCTATTCTAATAAAAGTACCTTGAGATTATGTTCGTCTTGGAGTTACTGACAGGAATGGATTTTCCCTGGAATGCTGACATCCGTACTGCTAAGGAAAATACATTTTGCATGCTGCTAGAATTGTGTAGAGTTGCTGGTGAAATGCAGAAGCATTGCTAAAAAATGGATTATTATTTTTTTGTCCATCCTCAGCCGCTGTCAGATACCACGAAAAGTCACAGGTACATTGAAGTCTACGCTGTTGTGGACAAGGTTTTGGTAAGTCTTTTAACCGTCCCAAATATCTCCAAATTCTCTAAGCGTCCCCATCCTTCGTGACTTGGTATCATAGTTGGTACTAATTTATTTGATTTGTGGTGGCTGTTGCATTGTCTAATAAATTCAGAGTGGATATTAACTAAAGCAGGGGTAGTCAACCTGGTCCCTAGCGTCCACTCGTGGGCGTTCCAGCTTTCATGGTGGGCGGTAGGGGTTTTGTCCCCTACTTTATAAATCACCATTACTGTGGAACCGGTGGGCGGTTAGAAAATTTTACTACTAACAAGAGATACAAAAGTGAGCGGTAGGTATAAAAAGGTTGACTACCCCTGAACTAAAGCATGTCGTTGTGATGAACTGGGAGCCCAGCTCTGATCTAAGCCCCCTTTTGCTTTGAATGCAGGTTTTGCATGCAAGTAATAATTGTCTTTTTTTAAATAAATAAATAAATTGTGAACTGTGTATCAACTACTTGTTTTTCAGTTCAACTATTTGGGCGGAAATCCTGAATATGTAACTTCAAACATTGTGCAGATTATCGGCTTTGTGAATAGTGTAAGTTATGGTTCTGGTTTTCTCTCCAATTAACTTCGGGTCTGGCTGCATTTTATTCTTCATCCTGTTTGATGTAGAACTGTTGATATGAGCCACGATGGCGCAGTGGTTAGAGGGCAGTACTGCAGGCTATCTCACCTGCCTGCCAGCTGCCTGCAATTTAGCAGTTCGAATCTCACCAGGCTCAAGGTTGACTCAGCCTTCCATCCTTCCCAGGTGGGTCAAATGAGGACCCAGATGGTTGGGGGCAAGAGGCTGACTCTATAAACTGCTTAGAGAGGGCTGTAAAAGCACGGTGAAGCAGTAAATAAGTCTAAGCGCTATTGCTATTGCTATATTGCCAACATAATTCCAAGCATTAAATGCTAGAGATATGCATTCAATAAATATATAAATAAAATAAAATAAAATAA